CCCCCCACAGCGGGAGCTCCAGGAAGCCGCCCCTGGCCCAGAAGCCCAGTGTGGTCCCCAGGCAGGACCATCAGGTAGGACCGCCAGGCGTCGGAGTTGGGATGGGGGGCCCTGGAGGGTGCTGCGGCCTCTTGCTTCCGATCTGTGGACGGGTTGGGAAGGTCAGAAAATGCTGACCAGCAGGAGCAAAATGCTGACCCAGCAACATGGGGGGCTCGGCTCACTCAAGAGGAAGATGTAGGGGCCGAGGAGACAAGGGTGCGGGGGGCCTGGCGGTAATGTGCCCCTTGCAACGTCCAGTGAGCACCTCAACTTTGACCCCTGCAGCTGGACAAAAAGGATGGCGTCTGCCCCACTCAACTCATGAACTCCTAGAGGGTCCGGCGGGAGCCTGGCAGGCGGCCTGGCCTCACGTGGCTACCGTGACTCGGCTCAGGAGGCATTGAGGGGCGTGGCACGCACACCAGGTGCCCAGGCTGCCCATGGCCTGGATCAGTGTCTGCGAGGCCCCCCCACTTGCTGAGCCCGGGGCTCTGGGCCGAGGGGCTGGCAGGGCAGTTCTGGACCTGAGAATCTGCCACGGGACCAAGAGCACCCGGGCTCAGCAGGCCAGAGCCACAGTTCAGGAAATACAGACATTTGTATGTTCGCAGCTAGAGCTTCGCCTTGTAAGTTTGTATTCGGCGCCCTGGGAGCAGGGCCGTGGGTGGGGTGGGGTGGGCAGGGCCTCCCCTGCCTTTTGGGTTCGGGGTCTGCGGTGAGCGGTGAACAGAACACGGTGCTGGCTGTCGGGACTGCGTGAGTCATCCCTGGTGTGTGGTCTCCATGGAGACTGGACAAAGCAGGACCGGGGCAGCACCCTTTCTCCTCGGACCTCACACTAGGGCAGCAGTGACGGGGTCCTGGGGAGAGGTGGCCGGGTCTGCTGTGGGCCAGGCAGGGCCGAGAACCCCATGCCTGTACCCTCGCCCCTGGCGTCTGTTCCTGCTGAAATCTGGTGGCCGCCCGCTTCCTGTTTTTCATTCCCATCCGCCTGCCCCTGCCCTGGAGGCCCAGCTCTGGCTCTCCCCGATGTCCACCTCCACCTCCCACGACGCAAGGTTCCCAGCTCAGCCGGAGAGAGCCGAGCCCTGCCCGCCGTCCTCCGACCAAGGGAGCCTCGTGCTCCGCCGCAGAGGGCAGCCCCACTCGGCCGGTGCTGAGGCCCAGCATGCCTCCCTGCCCTGAGGAGGACTCGAAAGAATGCACTGCTAAGACCCCCTGGAGATGGGTGGGGCCTTGCGAGGACCACCCCCTGCGTCCAGTACCCACTGTGTCGGGTTGAGCACAAGGACCAGTTCCGGGCATGGAGTTCAATTCCCTTGTATTGGGGTCCGACTGGCAATAAAATGCACTTTGACTGTGGTCGCTGCCCGAGGGGCTGTGCCGGGCTGTTTGTTTCTCTGGGGCCAGGAGCTGGGCTGGGACTCGCTTAGTTCCTGCAGGTGACAACGGCACTCGGAGCCACAGCAGCTCCGGCTGGTGCTGTTGCCGCTGCCAGGTGTCATGGAGGTGTTTCTCCAGGAAGTTTGCCAGTGGAGGCCTGGACGCCTGTGTGGTGAGTGGTGGTTTAGGGCTTTTCTCCCCGGCCCCCAGCCCGCATGGCTCTTGCTCCCCTCCCCCAGCCCACAGCTGGTTCCAGGAGGGCCCTGGGAGAGGGAAGGCTCCTGGCGGCCTGCCTTGGCCTCAGATCAAGCATCTGGGACAAAAGGACAGTGCGGGTCGGTGGGGGGGGTCAGTGTGGGTGGCTCCTGCCCAGCTGGCCGAATTCCTACCGTGTGGCCTCGGGCACGTGTCCACTCCTGTCCCCAGGGTGACTGAGGTCCAGGTGGGTCAGTGCTTTGAAAACGTCTCTGTAAACAGGGCGGGGCCCCTGCCTGATCTTTTGTGGGGTTATTTTGCTTTGGGGAAAAAAAAAAAAAATGTACTGAGCACCTTTGCTGTGCCAAACAGCATGCCAGGTACAGGAGACACAGCAGCAGGCAAGACATCAACCTCACGGAGCTTGTCTGGCAAGGAGGGGCGGGTGCCCGGTGAGGGCACAGTTGTGAGGTGTCCATGGGTGTCCGCGGCCTCGCCCGAGTCCCAGTTGTGCCTTTCCAGCCTCGTGTCCGGAAGGGAGCCGGGAAGACTAAGCTGAAGCATCTTCCTGTCTGAGGTGCAGACATGGCACCCACTGGGTGGAGTGCTGAGGACTTGGGGAGACCATGCATGTCACCGCCTGGGGGCTGCCTGGCACGCGTGGCACTCTCAGTAGATGTTAGCAAGACGAGCAGTAACAGAGACAATCATAAGAAATAAATGGAAAAGTTCCTTCAATGGAAGAATTGCTACGGCCGTCTAGAAACCCTCTTACTGATTTGTTCATTTACACGATTGTTCTGTTTACCTTGCAGGCACCAGAGTCCATGAAGGCGGTCTCTGGGCGTTTTTAACGTGCCCAGCTCTTGACAAGCACCTACCTACCTACCTACCTACCAGAACTGTGTCTGCACTGACCTTCCCGGAGTGACGTTGGTTAATGAGGTTATGAGGTTTCAGTGTGACTGTATGTTCACCTTTTGTATATTGTGCTGTGTGTTCACCACCCAAAGTTGAGTTTCCTTCCATCACCATTTACCCCCCTTTACCCTCCTCTATCTCCTCCCACCCCCTGTCCGTCTGTAACTGCCATGTTGTCTGTGTCTATGAGACTAGTTTTTTTTTGCCTAATCCTTTCACCTGTCACCCAGCCCCCAAACTCCCTGCCCCTCTGACAGCGGCCAGTCTGTTCTCTGTACCTATGAGTCTGTTTCTATTTTGTTAGTTCATTTTGCTCCTTTGTTTCCACATGTGAGTGCATCACATGGTGCTTGTCTTTCCCTCTCTGGCTGTGTCACTGCACAGTCCTCTCCAGGCCCACCCACGCTGTTGCAAAAGGTAAGATTTCCTTCTCTCTTACGGCCAATGCCTGTTCTTACTCTAAGGGAAAACAGCTCGAGGAAACTAAAGCAGGTTGTTCTCACCCAGTGCACCCCGATACACTTGAACTGGAGACCCCGAATGAGAAGCCTGGGGACAGGTTCTGTCCTGCTCCCTCCACCCCCCTTCTCATGAGCCAAGGGGCCCAGCAGGCAGGGGAGGCTCAGACAAGGCTGGGTGAGGAGCCGAACCCGTGCCCAGGCCAGCGCCTGCAGTGGGTCGGACTGGATTCTGCCTTTAAGCTTCCTAGAGCCACTGGTAAAGAGAGACCACTAGATACACATTCCCTTGAGGAAAAGGAAATTGCTTTCTCAGGAAAACCCCAGCGCAGGGGCCGGCGGCGGGTCGGCTCGCTCAGGCTGCTGGGGTGCGCCTGTACCGCCCGCTGCGGAAAGCTGGTCCTCAGCACAGGACAGCGGGCAGTGGGAGTCCCAGGCGTGGCTCAGCCTGGGGCGGGGGGACAAGTCCCCAGAGCAGATTGTCAGCCACTGACTTCCGTCACTTGAAACAGCAGGAATGTCTTCGTTTCCGTCAGCGGGGCAGGCGGTGGCGGGAACCTGTGGGCAGCAGCCAGGGCCGTGTCCACTGAGAGTGTGAGGTCCCTGCTTCTCGCTGCCCTTGCTGACAGCAGCGAGGATTCCCGATTCAAAACAAGGGCTCTGCCTCAGGGCCCGGCCCCTGGACCAGGCAGCTATGGCCGCCGTCTTGGTGGCTTTCATTTTTAACGTCAGCCAGCAGCCGCAGACAGCTTCACGCACAGGCAAATAAAGACAGGACTGTTCGTAATAATTCTCCATTTACTAAAAAGGGTCCCACAGCCTCACAGCCACAGCTCAGACATGGCCCTGGAGCGATGGCGTGGCAGCCCCTTCGCCACGTCCACACTGAGTCGTGTCAGCTGTGCCCCGCTCGGCGGCAGAGGCATGGGGTGGGTGGCACTGCTCTCGGGGCGCACAGAGCGTGGCAGGCGCCCTGGCACGGCAGCAGATGGTCCTGTACAGCTCTGGTTCTTTGAAAACAGGTATGATACAGTAGAGTTCAAGTCCAGGAGCAGAACTGTGTGGACACTGAGTACAAAGGTGGTGGCCTCCCCGTGGCCACTGGGACAGACCGTCTGAGCTTCGGCAGCAGCCAGGAGTTCCCACCTGAGCACTGGCCTGTCTGTGCACAGGTAGGTGGTGACACCCACCTCAGAATGCAGCACCTGTAGCTGGGAACCTGGTGGGGCAGGAAGGGTCCTAGCTTGGCACTCTCTCCTCCCTGGGTCAGAGGGCGAACTTCTTACAACACAGGGTGACACGCCCTTCCTGAAGGCAGCTGGGGCCACAGCCACCCCATGGCCTGGGGACAGCTGATTCGGGTCACCTGTCACCTGTACTTCCATCTCAAAACATGTACACTTTATAAAGTTCCCTGAATGGTTTGTGTCAAAAAGTTTTCTTCCCCAATATAAAACAGGAAATTTACACACGTAGTAAAAATATTGGCGTATTTCTTCGTAGAAACCCTGGGACCGGCTAAGGGGGGAGGGAGGAGCTGGGAGGACAGCGATGTGCAAAGTCCAGCTCCGCCCACCTCCACTGGGCAGTGGGCCAAGTGCAAACCCTGTGGGTGGCTTTGAGGGACCGAGGTTTTGGGGGAGTGAGGGGCTGTCACCCCCAGACTCAGTGAGCACCTTGTGGCCTGGCCCAGGCTGGGACAAACTGTCTTGAAAATAAAGCAGAAACCAGGAACCAGGCTTACTGCGAAAGCTGCGATGGGAGGACCACACTCTAAAGGGAGGGCAGCTTCCCCAGGTTCGTGAGCTCACAACACAAACCGCACGCGAACGGAGAATGCAAACTGGCACTAGCACGCCCCGGGCCTACGCTCCTCACCCACCTACAGTGCTCAGCAGACGCCACTGGGCCTCGCCAGGCCCTGGGCCTCGCCGCCTCCCAAGCGTGGGCCCGGCCAGCAGGCTGGCGGGAGTCTCACCCAGGACGGATGGACGAGGGACCTCACTGCAGGATGAAGCCTGGCTGGTGAGGCAGTCGGGGCGGGGGCCTCTGGGGGAGAGGGGGTGGGTATGGCGACACAAACTGCGGGGGGAGGCCCATGCGGGGGGGCAGGGGCGGGTACAGCGGGGCCTGCGCTGAGCCCACGGCAGCGGTAAACGGCGTGGCTAAGCGTCCTGCGGGCACCGGGGGCGGGATGCGCCGACGCATGACTGAGGGGGGGCCGCTAGCCTCCGGGGCGGCGGGCACTGGCTCGGGCCCCCTGGACGGCAGTGGGGCCGGGGCCTGTGGGAGTCTCTGCCCCTTTAGCACCATCTCCTGCAGCTTCTCGATCTTGACTCTCCGCACGTGGGCCAGTTTCCGCTGGCTCGGGTACACGTCGATGAAGGAGTCCAGAGGCAGCTCTCCCTCGAGAAACTTCTCTGCCATGTCCTGAAAGCAGGAGACACCTGGTCACCAGGACAGCCCAGCCCCGGGGGAGGACTCGTCCTCCACCACCCAGCTTCCTCCCAACCCGGCCCCTCCTCCTGCCCGCCACAGCTCTGCACGCCAGGCCCTGGCGGACCCCACGGGCCCACCTCCCAACCACCAGCGGGACAGCAGCAGGCTGGAGGACAGCACCGCGCCGTTCCCACCCTCTCCTTACAGCAGCCCAAGCCGCGGCCTGCTGCATCCTGACACTGGGCTCAGTGGGACCGAATCCAGCTCGTGGCCACCAGGGTCCCACCTGGGCCACCACCGCCAGCCTCGCAGCTACGACTGTCCCCAGACTCAGCTCACGGCTCAGTGAGGCTCCGGCCTCCCGTGCTCAGCTGGCTGCTTCCCCGGGGCACTTCGCACCTACTGACTCGGAGGAGACGGCACCCCAGCGCCCGTGAGACCCTCGGCACAGCATGCACCGTCACCGGAGGACCCACTCCCTGCTGCACTCCTGGCCTCGGGGTGTGGTGCTCGCCGTCCCCGAGGGAACTGAGCCAGGGACTCCGGCTGTTTTACCTCCGTGTCTTCCTCAATCTTGGCTCCTTCGGCCTGGAGAAGCGCTAACAGGGTCTCCAAGGAGGCACTGCTGGGCTGTTGGTCTGCAAGAAGCCAGAGGCAGGGTGAGCGGGGGCTGGCTCTCGGAGATCACAGGGCCCAGCCTCTTACAACCACGCTCCCCCCCTCCCTCCCACTTCAAAGCATGAGCCTGCAGCCAGACAGACGGCAGCAGTGGCGCCTGCTGAGGACTCCAGGAAGTGAGCTAAGCCCGGGAGGACAGGTGCGCCTCGCCTCTCAGGACTGGCACCGAGACTGAGCATGTGACCTGCTCCCCACTCCTCTCTCGCGACCTCACACTTCCTGTCTGCCACCCTGTGGAGCCCATCACCGTACGGCGGACACGTACACATCAGTAAAGCCACGGCCTCCGAGCCACAGCCATGCCCGCCTGGGGGCGGGCACTCCCGGCGTGGGCAGTGGTGTGTGCCACGCCCGAGGCTGCGGTTTGCATCCTCACGCTCCAGGCCCGCGGCCGGCTAGGAGTGTTCCGGCCATTTTTACCGGAGTTAGGGCGACAGTGGGGGACTGACCTCTAGGGGGTGATTTTTCCCACCTCGCCTAGAAGTCTCCCTGAACCTACCCACAGCACCCAGGGCTGTTCCGTTCCCACTTGTCGCCCTGGCTGTAAATTAAAGTGAGACTAAAACACAACGTCCGGTGACATCATTCCAGCACTGACGCCGAGGGCCCGGCGCGCCTCTTCCCCGTCTCCCCAGAGGAGCCTCGGCCGCAGGGCTGGGAAAGGGCTGGGGAAGGGCTCGCGCTCCGCCCCGCCCGCCCGCGGCCCCGTTACCTAGCTGGGTCTTCTTGATCTGGTAGGCCTCAAACAGCCCCTGCAGCTCCTGGTACTTCTGCGTCAGGCGCGCCTTCCGCGCGTCCAGCTGGGGCTGGTACAGGAGGTTCCCCTCGGCCAGGCTCCGGTTGCTGGCGAGCGTCATTTCTTTGTTGAGCTGGACATTCTGTGTCTGCAGGGAACACAGGACGGGGAGCACCCACGCGTGTCAGTGCCCGGCCCGGCCCCAGAGGTCCCGCCCCTGCTGCCCCTCGGCTTCCCGCAGCGGCCGCTGCTTCTGGCTCTGTCCCCACCGCTCAGTGGCTGTGCTGACAAACGCCTTACCCTTCCCAGGAGGAAACGGGTTTCTCAGAGCAATGTCTGCTGCTCCAGGGGCAGTTACAGAATCCCTCTCGGAGGGGTCAGGGGGCTGATGTCATGACTGGGAAGGTGGTCAGTGCCCCTTGAGCCTGCTCCATTCGTTCCCACCCCACCTACTGCACCCTCCTCCCCCCTCCCCGCCACTGGTCACCATCAGCGACCCCACAGGGGTTTCCGTCTGCCATTCCCGCCTCCAGAGGTGAGGACAGGCTGGGAGGAGGAGGAGGAGAAGCCCACCCGCCTGGACCTCATTTCCCTTCACCCCCTGCACCCGCTTTCTGGGCCTGAGGTTCAGCGGCACGCAGTCCCCACTGTTTGCCCGTTCTCTCCTCAAGCCTGTGCCAGTCCTCCCTGCACACACACCCCCCCCTCCTGCCTCCACCCCGTCTATTTTCCCTGCCTCCTTCCTCTCCACAGTCACAGGACAGGGCCCTGGCTGCACGGCCACCACTGACCCCCCTGCCGCTGAGCCCCACCGGAGGCTCCCGGCACACTCACTGACGTGTGTGCACGCACGCGTGTAGGAGAGCACACACAACTTAGTGGAGTAAGAGAACAAAGACGAGGCCCATGGCCCCGGGCCTGAACAGGACACACAGATGAACTGGCTCCAAGCCCTAAAGAGGGGGTGCAGCTTAACACAGATCAAAGGGAGAGACGCCTCCAGCTCAGCACCAGGAATCTCCAGCCGAAACCTCCCCGTGCTGGCCGCCCGCTGCCAGGGCTGGGGGTCTCCTCTGCCCCGTCCCAGGCGCGCTGGCCCGCCGGGCGGTGTCCTGAGGGCTTCCCTCCCACTGCCGAGCATTCCCAAGAACGAGCAACGGAAACAACCCCATAAGCTGCTCCAGAAACCGCTCGGCCACTTCTTTTAGCACCGAACATGCAAATACCATGCGAGCCCGACACTGCAGGCTGGCAGCCACGCTCGGCCACGGGCATGGAGGCGCTTTCTGGCGCCGTCTGCCCGGCTGGAACACGCACGCCACGCCAGGGCAGCCTCTCGCCCCCTCCGCAGGCCAGCAGGCCTCAGCTCAGCCGCCGTATTCTCAGGGTCAGAGTGCGGCCACAGGCACTTCCACGCCTGGGCAGCCCCAGAGGAGGGAGCACGAGGAGGCAACAGCCTGAAAGCAGTGAGTCTGCAAAGCCGCCGAGCCAGCCGTAACCTCACACCCTTCGGGCACTGGTCTTTTTACATTTTAAAAAACCAGTGAGTTCTAAGTGGCTGCCAGCCCAACCCACAGCCCCTCCAGGTGGACACGGGCTGAGGTGGCAGCTGACAAAGCTCGCCCCCGGCCCACAGCTCCGTTCGGACGCTCAACGCGATGCAGAAAAACCCTTCCCCCTCAGGGCTCCTGCCCGTGGCTCCCGGGGAGTCACAGCCGACTCCCTCCCGGTGCCAGCCTCCGGTGCCAGCCTCCCGCGGCGACCGCTGACGGGAACCTGAGACCGCACTGCACTGCGGGAGCCGCGGTGCCGAGCGGGCAGACGCCTGAAATTGAAAACTGTCGCCAGCCCTTGATTCCCATGATCCTTTTTCTTAACCAGAGAGAAATCTTTCCAGGAAATAATCTCGCTGTGGTACGTGCTCGGCTTCCCTGCAGTTCCCCTTTCTGCTCTCGATGGAAGGAGAGTGAGCTGCAGGATCCGACGGACGGACTGCTGTCACATGGAGTCTGTGTTCCTGGGAGCCCCCCCCCGCCCCCCGCCCCCCGAAGATGTGTCCACATCCTCATCTCTGGTCGTGGAGTCTGGCTTGTTTGGGGAAAGGGTCTTTGCAGAGGAGACTGAGTTAAGGGTTTGGAGACCAGATCTCCCTGGACGTTCGGAGTGGCCCTGAATCAGCCACACAGACCAGACAGACGCAGAGGAGGCCGCGTGAAGACGGAGGCAGAGACGGCAGTGAGGGGCCACAGCCCGGAAGCAGAGGCTGGGAGGGGCAGGAGCACTCCCGGGAGCCTCCGGGGGGGGGGGGGGGGGAGAGAGAGAGGGCACGGGTCTCAGGCCTCAGCCTCTGGGACTGGGAACCCTTTTCCTCGATATTTATAACACCCTTTGAGGGCCATACGAAATTATCCGCTTAAAAAGCAGCTTGGTCCAACAGTTAATCACCCCTCACGCCAGTGCAGGGCCAAGTGGTTTCACAGCCCCATACGGCCGGGCCGCACGCTCCCTGCTCCGCTGTGAGCTGCCGAGTGTGCAGCCTGTGCTGGGGCAGCCCCAGGGCCCTCTGTCTCCTTCCTGCTCTGGGCCCCGGGGCCCAACTGGCCGAGATGGGCCATGGACCAGGTCAACAGGCCCCTTGCCTTCTAGTTCTCACTGGATTTGGCGATGGGGATGAGGATGGGGTTCTCTGGGTCCCCTCCTGATGTAGGTGGCCAGACCATCTCCCACTCACAGCAGCCCTCTCCCGCTCTGTGCTCTCGCCCCTGGGGTCGGGGGTAACCCCCACGCCTGAGGCCCGGCTGCCCGGGCCCTGGGTCCACGCCCCGGCCTCCTGGTAAAGAACGCTGTAGGCCGCCTCTCAGGTCGCTGAGCCTGCCAGATGCCAGAGCCTGGCCGGCATAACCGGGAGGGCTTTCCTGGTAAATACAGTGACCCTGGAGCCCACACCCCCTGAAGAGAATCGTGTCATTCACCCCGAGGCCCAGAACCCCGAGGCCCAGAACTCGGAGGCCAACAGGCCTGTCACTAGACACAGCTCAGCCTAATCTGCAGGGATCAGGACCTCTGGCCTGAGGCCGCTGTCTGCCCCGTTAAATGTTAACAACTCGCTAAACTGCTCCTGATTAGCTTCCTGCAAGGTTGACCATACACTGTCAACAGTAGCACCAAAGACACACCCACTGTGAGCACAAAGGACACCAGGACTACAAGCCACCAGCTGGGGCCGGGACCGGCCCTCTCCTGGCCCACCCGGCGGAGCCGACGGTGGGAAAGGGAAAAGGGGGTGATACGGTGACGGCTATAGCACACCGGCCGAGGCAGACGGCCGGCGGCACACGCACGCCTCTCGGTGGTAACTGCCACGTCCCTTACGGGTTCACGGACACGTGACATTCCTCCCCCTAAAGCTTGACAGACACAACACTCGCCAACACGGGTTGGCTGGTTGGTTCATACGTTCATTCGTGAAACACGGATGGACCCCTCTCCATGCCAGGCTCCAGGGAGGCAGCAGCCAGAACGCAGCAGGCCCTCACGACGGTCCAGGGACAGGCCCGCGGGCTGTGTGGTGCTCGCCCTGCACTGCAGCTCCTGGGCGGTGATCAAACCCAGGACCCTTCAGACCTCTGGCCGACGCTCCTTCCCCTGAGCCAGACCGGCGGGGCTGAAGAGCAGGATAGTTCAGTAGATTGAGTCAATGCTCCAGCAACCCCGAAAAATGACCAACAAGCTTTGGGGGGGGGGGGGGGTTGCCACTCATTTTTCTGATACTCCAAGCCTGTAGCCAGACGGGAACACCCCAACTTGGTCAGCAGCTGACCCCTGCCCTCCGTGTGGCCCCACACCCCTCTGGGCTGCGCTGACCCCGACCCAGACTGGCCCTCCCTCAGGGAAATACCGGTTCCCTCTGGGTTTTGCTATTTTCCTCTCCAGATAAAATTAAACGGGGAGAGGGTGGGGGGAGGGAGGGAGGGGGGAGGGAGGCGGAGACCAGCCTGGGCTCTGCTCCTTCCTGGGCTGGGCTTTAAGGCCGGGCTCTGGGATTAGGAAAGAAAGCCCGGCAGGCGCGCCGGCTTAACCTCGTCCCCTTTATTGTCCGGCACCTGCTCAGCTCGCCGCTCCTGCGGGTCCTCCCGCCCCGCCGCCTGCACTGAGTGCGCCTCTGGGGCTACAGGGCTCTGTGTTCGAAAGCCCGATCCCTCGCCCATTCGGTGAAACCCTGCCCTGGCTGGCTCAGGGCCCCCGGCTTCCAGGTGGAGCCTGCGCCCCGGCCTGCAGGTGCCCAGCGCTGCCCGCGCTTCGAGGCGTTCCCCGGTTTTCACGGACGGAACCCTCAGCGGCTGCAGTCGGACGGTGCAGCCTGTTTCCGAAGGGCGTGAAGCAGTTGCCCCGAAAGACGGCAACCTCGTGGGCCGGTGAGCCACCCGAGCCTGCAGCCCGCAGCCACGCGGGAAGGGCTTGTACCAGCGGCTCCCTCCCACCAGGGCACCCCCGGCACAGAACCCGCAGACGGAGGGGCTGATGCTGAGAGCCGGCCGCCCTCAGAGAGCAGCGGGCGTGGGTGTCGCCTGGACCCCCCTGCGCGTGGGGCTGGCTCCAATCTTCAACGAGCGCGTCCTCCGCTCCGCGGCGAGGGGCCCCCAGCAGCCGGGGCGGGCGGGGGGTGGGGGGGGACGGAAAACCGCGGGGACGGGGGTGGTCTCGGCTCTCACGGCCAGACGGCCTCGTCGTCCGGGCGGAACCACATTCCGGGTTTTCGCTGTTGCTCTTCCCTGGAAGCCTCGTTAGCGAACATTCAGAGAACACGGCCCAAGCTCTGCCCCTTCCTGGGTGGACGTGGCTATGACAGCGTGCGGGTCCCGAGAACTGTCCGAGCTGGACGGTCACCAGGAGGCCATCGCTGACCTCCCAGGCCTGGGGCTCCGGGCGGAGGAGCGGGGCGGGGCTGGACACCCCGCGGATCCCAGTGAACCGCCTGGTCCCGGTCTCCTCCCCGCCCGCCGGGCCCCCGGGGGCCACAGAGGAGCTCTCACCGCTGCCATCAGAACCAGTGAGCTGCCGGCTCACCGAGCTGGCTGAAACAGGAAACCAGAATAAACAAAATGTTAGAGACACCTGCCCCTGTCTGCCTTCGAGGCGGGTGGGGAA